TTTTATTTCTGTAACTTTTGGAACTTAGCTCAGTGACTAATGAAATCAGAATGAAGATAATGTAGGGGAATAATTGAGATGGTTGATTATGTTCATGTTTAATTAACAAACCCAAAGGCCTACTCTTTCTTTTAATGAATCTTTTATACACAGCTGCTAATAGCATGATTTGGATCAGTCTCTTCTCACACGTACCAGTTGCGGCTCATGATCAGCTGTATCACCCTCAAAAGAGGAAAGCACTTACTGCTTGATTCCCCTACAGCAGAAATCTCCCTTGGGTTGAGTGCTCTTTTGAGTAGATAGTCATCAATAAATTTGAGGCAACGTTACCTAATGGAGAGTGAGTAGTCTATCCTCCTCATTCTCTCCCCACATCACCTCTCTCTCCCTCTCTCTCTCTCTCTCTCTCTCTCTCTCTCTCTCTCTCTCTCTCTCTCTCACACACACACACACACACACACACACACATTTTCTAATTTGATCTCTGAAGATTCTTATACAATATCTATTTCTTCATGTATATATATTAGGCAAATTTTTCACACAATTTTATAAATCTGTATTTATAGGTCCATAGCTGTGGAGTCACAACCAAAATTCTGAGGTCATGAAATCTGTTTTGACCCAGCAACAGTGTATGTAACTGCTTATCTTATGATCAAAAATAAAACCCCAAAAGTAACCATATCCAGGGCTGGAGAGATGGCTGAGCAGTTAAGAGCACTGACTGCTTTTCCAGAGGTCCTGAGTTCAATTCTCAGCAACCACATGGTGGCTCACAACCATCTGTAATGGGATCTGACTACCTCATCTGGTGTGTTGAAGACAATAACAGTATTCTCACACACATAAAATAAATAAATAAATCTAAAAAGTAATCAAATATATTTAAAAATAGGATGGGAACATGATCTAGTATTGGGTGGGGGTAAAGGACTGAAGCCCTGAGAGTCAGCCGAAAGAATGGAAACAGGCAACCCTGGAAGGTATGAGGTGAGGGGACCCTCCAGATTGTACCGGACACCTGGGAGGTGGAAGACTCTCAGGACTCAAAGGAAGGGACCTTAGATGAAATGCCCTAGAGTGGGGAGAGGGAACTTGTAGAGCCCACCTCGATCAGAAAGACAGGGCATAAAATGAGGGATGCGGTTGCCAGTCATCTCACAGTCATAACACTGACCCATAGTTGTTCCTATCTGAAAGAACTGCAGGGATGGAAATGGACAGGAGCCTGAGGAAAAGAAGGTACAGCAATAGGCTCAAAGTGGGATCCTGCTCAAGGGGAGGCCCCAAGGCCTGACACTATTACTGAGGCTATGAAATGCTCAGAAAAAGGGACCTATTGTGACTGCCCTCCAAAGGACCCAACAAGCTGCTGAAAGAGTCAGATGCAGATATTTGCACAGAATGGACCGAAGCTGCTGACCCCTGTGGTTGAATTATGGAAAAGCTGGAAGAAACTGAGGAGGAGGGTAACACTGTAGGAAGACCAGCAGTCTCAACTAACCTGGATCCCTGAGATCCCTCTGACACTGGACCACCAACCAGGCAGCATACACCAACTAATATGTGGCCCCCATATTAGTAAACAGCAGAGGACTGCTGGGTACGGGTATAGTCAGAAAAGATGCAGCTAACCATCAAGAGACTGGAGTGCCCAGTCTCTTGGAGTTTAGTGGTCTGGTGGGGTAGGATGTGGGTGGTGGGGACATCCTTGTGGAGACAGGGATGCAGGGATTAGATATGGCATGTGGAACAGTCGGAAGGTGGACTGGGAGGGGAATAAAATCTGGAGTATAAAATAAAATATAAAAAGATTAAATAAAAAGAAGGAATTAAAAAAAAGAAAAGGTCAACTTGCACCATAGCTTCTACATAGCAGTATATTTTGCATTTCCTTCCCCATAGACAGTTTATCTTCCATTTAAGTCCATATTCTAATTAAAAATTTCAATACGTTACATTTTTATTGGAAATAAAATCAGAGGCTCTGTCTGTAACATCTGAATCCTGCCTCCAGGTAGATTTCTCTGACAACTTGGCCTCAGGCAGCAGCTGCCCAGGAGTCTTGTTGGTTCTTCCTATGAAGACATCCTTCTACACTCCCAAGCTATTCTCTTCTCTCCCATCTTTTCTCCGGAGCACTGTCTCCTCGCTCTTCAGGGAACAGTATAAGGTCCAGTTTTGCAACGAAACCTGAACTGGGTGTTCTGACTAATACTGGTCTCTCTATATGCTACGGTTTCATGGGTTGATTCCTTCTAAACATATTTTGTGCCTTCTGTTTGTCAGGTATAGTCTTTACTACTATCCTCTTATTTAATGCATTGGATCCACTATTTGGCTGAATATTTTTTAAGCAATATTTTTTTTCAAGTGAAAGAGTGAAGCTGTATCAATGTTGTGCTTTTAGAATCAAATTTCAGAGTGTGTGTCATCTGGAAGATCGCAGATGCTTTTCAATGTAACTTTTGGCTTTGTGTTTTATTTATGTGAACTTATAAGCAATTCAAATAAAAAATAAAACAAAATCTTACAATTCAAAATCAAAATTATGTTCTAGTTTCTGAGATGGGCATAGGCTTGATTTTTAACTCTTTCAAATGATCGTGATTGACATGAAATTTTGAGGACACCTGGTATCCATAATCCTGATATCATGTATAGACGTGTGTCTGCCATGCCCCATCACAGTTAACCCTGTTCAGTCCACTCTCAGTGTTGCACTATTAGGTGCTTTCAGCCTTAGCCATTTAGCCTCCATTAATCTTGCTCTTTTGTCTCGTGCTATGCTGTTCCCACTAAGCCTTTTATCCTTTTAACCTGTTTAATGCTAATAGCTGAGGCTTATAATATAGTTAGAAGTACTTACTGGAATGTATACAGAAAGAGTTATCACAGAAATGAACACATCTCTAAAGTGAAGTCTTAAAAATGTATATATCAATAGTGAAACATAGATTTTAAAAATTAATTTGTAACTTTGCAAACACATTTTCATTGTGCATAAATACCAGTTTCTATATTTGGAGCTATTTATCTCTCGTCCTATAGGCTTACCCACTCTTTTCAAATTAATTATACCACTTGAGAGGCAAATTTTGCATTCATGCAATCAGACACAATTAGAAATTATGATATAAAGTCCATTGGTGTTAAGTCTTTCATTTCTGATTCTTAACCAATTGTGTTAGCTTTAAATTTTTCATGCCATGGGAAAAAATAAAAACATACAATTTGTGAACTAGTAAAAATAAATAATATATACTAACACTATCATATTTCTTTGGCTAGGTAGAGTTTTGGTTATATTTACTACTTTAGATCCTGATTGTAAGCATCTAGTATGGTAGGAGAAAAGAAATTATACATTTTGGGCATTTGTTTATATTTAAGAGTTTATATTTGATTAATGATAATTACTTGTGATATTGTATTTTATTTTCCTTATTTAAAAGATGAAATGAGCCTCGAACTTTTTATTTGACAACTTTTTAGAAACTCTCACATATGAAATTTGATGTAATAATATCGTGAAGGCCACCATACATTCAAAATCTTGCATCATAGTTTCAATATGCTGAAATACATTTTTTTTTGTTTATGCTCATGATGCCACCTCCTTAATCCTGAAAAAATAATCTCCTCTTAGGTATTCAGACTTAAATATTTGATAATGAAGTTTGTTTTATAAAAACATTGAGTGACTTGAGACTCTTAGAAAGAAAAGTCTCAAAGTTTTCTATTTATATTATGAATGTCAATTTAGTGATGATGCTAACTCTTGAGAAATGTGTTTCAAATTTCTCTGTCATTAATGATATTGTTTCACTCATTAAATGTCACATTTTTCATCAGTTTCCTTCTAATTGATCTAACGTAATTTCCTCATAGTAATGATTTAATACATTTTGTGATTGTGGAATATGATTAATGAAATAAATAAATTTGTGATATAAGAAATTGGAGAAAAATAGTGGGGTGTATTTCATCTGTTTTTGAAGCACAAAAAAATAATACTCACGCTTAAAAGAAAAACTCTGGGGTAGGAAAGCTGTATAGCTGTGTTTGCATAGAGCAGAGCTGTGGAAAGGAGAAACAGATAAAGCTGAGACTTTGTGTTATGCATGGAGGTTCTGCAAACACCTACATGGCAAAAGGGAGGGAGCCACAAAAGCCCAAAGTACCAGAGAAACTATATTTAAGCTCTGTCTAGCATCCAAAAGAAAAAGACAGAAGGGAAGAAAAATAAAGTTACACCTTCTAAAGCTGAAAGGTTTACAGTGATGGAACAGAGTCCTGGCAGCCCTATAGTTACTGTACAACACATGGGGGCTGGGAAGGAAACTACATTATTTCATTATCTCATGTTTATCCTACTCATCTTTTTCTTATGACAATAGGTGAACCACTTTTCCTTAGGGTGGTCTCTAAACTGAGAGAATAAACAGACCAACTGAATTATCTTGTGTATAGCTTGGAATATTAGGTCTCTATCCAGGCCAGAGATAGATTCCTTTCATTTAAACAGGATAAAATACCTTTCCCTTAATGAGCCTCCAATGCTACTGTAACACTTCCCTGTCTGAAGAGGTAACCTTAAAACCATGCATGAGATAGGCTGAAATTGAATGATAGATATACCGCATTGTCACCATGAAAACCCAGAGATCCAGCACCAAAGCTGTTAACAGATGGAATTAATCTAGATTGTTTCCATTTGTTCTTCTTTAATGCTGAAGAAAGTAATCTTAGTGTTTGGAAATGAACCTGTTTTTCAACCCTCTTTATCATGTGTACCAAGTTTTCCCACAGTGTATTTACTTTATAGTGATAAATGGACAGAAATAAATCCCTTTGGAATAATTCCAATGGTTTTACATATAAAGGAATTATAAAGCAAAATCATAAATAAATCTGAGAAATCATGCCTGTTGAACAATAAACTTCTCAGAAGTAAAAAGACTTCTTTTTCTTCTGTGTTGTAATATTCCTAGATATCCGTGGGATACAGGAATTTTTGGACAAAGTATCCCAGCAGGGAATGGATGTTGCCCTTCAAAAGGTGGAAAACAACATCAATAAAATGATCACCACGCTCTTTGACACCATGAGGATAGAGGAGTTGAATCGATATCGAGACACTCTTAGAAGAGCCATCCTTGTTATGAATCCTGCCACAGCTAAATCCTTCATAAGTGAGGTAAGTATATCCAGGGTGGGGCAAAGTACAAAAAGCCAATACTTTGGAATGGACTCCATTGAGGATATGAAAACTAAAAGAAGAGAGGAGGAGGAGGATTAGCTGCACAACTCCCATTAACACTAATGAAGGAGGCAGAGTGAATTGCTTGCTCATCTCATTTACCCCATATTGGCCAGCTAATTACTAGGAATGTTTGTATTTGTGTATATTTAGGCACACGGCCAGGGCAAGTTTCAGAAACCTTATGAGTTTCAAAGTGCTGTTGACCTGAATGAATCTAGCAAGCTTGAGAATGGATTCACAAGTGTGCAGCTAATTCCTTTGTGTTGTTGATGTTGTTACTGCAAGCTAAAATTATGTTTCTGAGGAAAGATTTACTAGAATGAGACTCTGATTGCCAAGGCAAACTGATTCCACGAAATATGCCACGACTTCAGTTCTGCTCTAGGAATCTGTACTAAGACAAACAACAAAGACTAATTGAAACTCTACAAGGGGATGATGGTCACACACTGTGATGTGATGGCATGTCTACAAAATGTTAGTTATATCTGCTACCTTGGCTAGACACAAGAAAACTTAGTAAAGAACCAGTGAGACTAGTGACTCAGACAACCTTGTTGCACCCTAAAATATTTGTGATCTCTTTACAAAAGATCCTTGCCTTTTTTCCCCATAGTTAAGTGTTTAGTTTTATCTTAGCCTCTTTTGCCCTAGTTAAGTGTTTGTTTTCATTTAATAATAGTCACTCATTTCATGACATACTTTCACATACTCTTTTTAGCTTCGTGAGCTTCAATTGTTGAATTTCTTCCCCTCATTTTTCTTCATTCATTCCATAAACTCCTGAAATTCTGCATAAGATTCCAAATTATAAGGTGTCCTTTGACACTAAGATTTTGAAACAGAACACAAATCATTAAATACTAGACAGTTAATACCAGTTGAATTTTAATATAGATTTTTGTCATGTGAATTTAAGGAAAAGAGAGAACTGTGATCTTGAGTTTAGCAAATGCCTAATTCACCATGAAAGCCTAGACTTTTCTGTGACAAAATATTTTAGAATAAGACCTTAGAGCAAGTGAGGTGTGTTTGTCTCCTGGTTCCAGAGGTGTCATTCCATGAGCTCTAGACCAGCAGGGAGGCTGAGCAGGGGGTTGGGAGCAGGTATCTGAGTAAATCTGCTCTTTTCATTATGGTCAGGAAGCAAGAAGGCCTAAAAATCAGCTTGGGATAAAGTACAGCCTCCAAGAAAATAACCCTCTGTTACCTTCAAAGTTGCATAAGAAAAAAAATCTATACTAAACGTTAACATGAAATATTGGGCCCCAAGTTTTAAAAGTTTCTTCTACTTTGCAGTAGTGCGACTAAAAAAGGGTCCATCAGAGGTTAATCCCAGGTAAAACCCACATGGTCTTGTCATTCTCCTTCTGAACATTGTAATATAAGACTATATATTTGCTAAATCAGCTGTCAATCAAAGGGTACTTTGTGTTTGCAAACTGCAACATTTCAAAATTGTAAAGTTTTTTAGAAATTTGACAGTGACTGTGTAGACACATAAAATATAAACTGGATAATGGATAAAAGTTGAGATATCACTGGTGTTTCTCTTTGCGGTGATCAGAGTTTTTATTAACTAGGTGTAGTTGATTTGGACTTGATACTGTGGGTAGGAATTCTCAAGGAGAAATCAGAACAGTTTAAGTTTATCTGAGTTCCATTATATGATCACATTTTACATGAATATTTTTTAATGTTTTAAGACTCCATTTGGTTATCAATGAAGTAAAAATATGGATTTAAATGTATTAAGAGTATAATACAAAATAATGAGATTATATCATAGTAAGACCCAAAAGATAGCAGTGAGGAGGGCTGAAAACCAGGAAATGTTCAAAATAGTAATGTCTAGATATTTTCTTTTCTATTACATACTAGCATGGCAGACAAGAAATACATAAACACGCCTCTTTAATTGAAAATGGGGATGTGGAGATGAATAAAGATATGGGGGTTGATTTCAGTTGGGTATATATTGGGAGAAGCGTGTGCAAATAATGAACTGAAAGGGGCTAGCATGCTCAAGACATGTACTGTTCAGAGTCCATAGATGGAGAGACTGAGGAACCACTGCTTTCCTTCTGAGAGAAGAGATATAGACCTCTAAGCTTCTGGTGGATGTAGGACATACGACCAAATGAATGAGACTCAGACTCAGTTACTAGCAGATTACTAAAACTCCAATAGCTGGAAATTGCAGAATGAGACAATATGAACATTTTAAAACTAGGTCCCAGGAGATTGTGGTGCAGTATTAAGCTGCTAGAGGTTCACTAATCAAATATGATACCCTTCTACATTTGTCTTCGCCGTGGTTTTTATTCCTGTACAAACATCATGAACAAGAAGCAAGTTGGGGATAAGGTTTATTCAGCTTACACTTCCACATTGTTGTTCCTCACCAAAGGAAGTCAGGAAGTTCCTCAAGCAGGTCAGGAAGCAGGAAGTTGCTTCCTTTGGCTTGTTCAGCTTGCTTTCTTATAGAACCCAGGACCACCAGCCCAGGGATGGCACCACCCCACAGTGGGCCCTCCCACCCTTGATCACTAATTGAGAAAATGCCTTACAGCTGGATCTCATGGAGGCATTTCTTCAACTGAAGCTCATTTCTCTGTGATAACTCCAGCTTGTATCAAGTTGATGCACAAAACCAGCCAGTACAATTGACTTCTTGTCAACTTGACACACAAGCACATCACTATTAAGCCTCAACCCTTTCTTTCTTATTTATCCCCAAGATCTAAATGACTTTAAAAGCCTTTGTAAATTTTTACATATTAAAATTTCAATCCCATTAAAATACTTAATCTCTTTTAAAATTCAAATTCTTTTTACTGTTAAAAGTCTCTTAACTGTGGGCTCTGCTAAATTACTTTCTAATTCACTATCTTCTGGGCTCCTCCAAGGCCTATGGTCACTTTTCCAGCCCTGCCCTGTGTAGCATACACCTTGTCTTCTAGGATCCAGCTGCCTGTACTCCATTGCTACTGCTGTTCTTGGTGGTCATCTCATGGTACTGGCATCTCCAAAACACTGTTGTCTTCTGCTGTAACTAGGCTTTATCAATAGCCTCCCATAGGCTCTCTTTATGGTGTTCAGCCTCAACTACTTTGCATGACCCCTTCAGTCCTGGACCATCAATTGCAACTGAAGCTGCACCTTCACCAACGGCCTTCTGTAGCCTCTTACAGTGCTGAGGTTCAGCTGTTCCTTATGACCCCTTCATGTTTTTAAAACTAGTACCACTTTGGTGACTCTTACACATTACCAAGTCCAGCCACCGCTCAAGGTACAACCTTGGCTATCTCTGGAACAAAGCCTTTGTGCTCTAACACTTCCCAGATTTCACTTCAGTGATGTTGGTCTCTTATTTATCACCGCTATTTTCTTAGCTCCGGCTAACCAGCATCAATTGTCCCAGTAACAAAAAGGTTTCAATTTAGTAGTTCTGGTATCTTATTAATCACAGGTGATTCTTTAGCCCCAGCTAACCAAAACCACAGAATTCTTCACAATCAAAACAAGAACAGCCCTGAGTATTTAATCTTCCCCCTGAAATTTCACAAGCCAGGCCTCCATCTTCTGCACTGTTCTCAACATTATCTTCCAACTCGTCCAGAATATACCACAGAGATCTTAACATCCCAATGGCTTTTCTAGCTCAACATTCCAAAGTCCTTCCACAGTCCTCCCTAAAACATGGTCAAGTTGTCACAGGAATATCCCATTTCTGGTACCAATTTGTCTTAGTCATAGTTTTTATTCCTATACAAATATCATGACCAAGAAGCAAGTTGGAGAGGAAGAGGTTTATTCAGCTTACACTTCCACATTGTTGTTTATCACCAAAGGAAGTCAAGACTGGAATGCAGCAGGTCAGGAAGCAGGGGCCATGGAGGGATGTTACTTATTGGCTTGCTTCCCCTGGCTTGCTCAGTTTGCTTTCTTATAGAACCCAAGATTACCAGCCCAGGGAAGGTACCACCCAAAATTGGCCCTCCCCACTTGATCACTAATCAAGAAAGTGCCTTAGATTTCATAGAGGCATTTCCTCAACTGAAGCTCCTTTCTCTGTGATAACTCCAGCTTGTGTCAAGTTGACACAAAAACCCAGCCAGTACAACACTGACAGTGTGCTACCTCCCTGTCTGCTGTCCATACATGCCAAACCAATGTACTCACAGACTGAATTCATTCAGAGGTCTCTTTGCAGTACTGCCCAGCCTTCTGTCTTGGCTATAAAAGTCTGTATTCTCCTAATGTTTCTTGACATTGCCCCTCTGCCTGTGTGCCCACACTTCAGTTTGGAAAGGGCAGCAGACACTTTGGATCACTCTAATGACATCATCTTACCTTGACACACGTTACACCATAATAGATGTCATTACTAAGCACAACACAATATTACAGAAGAAATAGAAATAGAATGAAGTAGATTTGAGATGATACCAGCAGTTGGCCAGTAGTGCCTATGCACTTAATAGAGGTTTCCAGAAAAGATATGAGTAAGGGCATCATGATATCTGTAAGAAAGGCCAATGCTAAGGCTGTTGGATTTTTGCTTCATTTATTCTCGATTTTTAAATAAGCATAGATTTAGTGCCTGCTATATCATATGTATCCTCCTAGACACTAAGGAAACAATGGCCATGCTGATCTGGGAACTTTCTTCAACTTTCTGGCTTGGTGCAAGGAAAGAATAGAGAACAGCTGCATTGATCAAGATACATCATGGCACATCACATGCATTTGCACACTGCCTTGGGAAGTGAGAGCCACTCTCTTTCTTATTGTAGAACTGTAATGTAATTGTGAGTGTTGACAGAGCTTATGCTGAGCAGAGGCCTGAAGGAGATGTTCTTTGGGTTGCTTATTACAGGACATGGCATCAGGCAAAGGACAGGACAGTCTAAGCAGAAGGAACATCATGG